ATTTATTATATCTAATTTTCTCATTACAGGTAAAAATAGTACGAATTGAAATATATTGAAAGTCATATGTATTTTGAGTATCTATGATTAACTGATTTTACTATGCTCCTCAACTAATCAGCATATAAAAGGAAAAAGAAACGCATAAGAACATAATATTCGAAAATTTCCTGACTATGTCGTCTAAATGATGAAAATTGGTCAGATGTGTAATTTGGTTTCTTACACTAGAATTGATGGTCAAAAATATTCAACCATGGAATGTATGGTGTCAAGTAGGGGGAGTGAGAAAAACAAAAAAGAAAAAAAAAACATGTGCATGTTGATAATGATAATACTTTTGTTATCACATTTTGTAGTGCCATACGATGTATTAGAGCTATAGACACCGTTTTTGTATATTTGCAGCCAGTATAGATTTCTTGCAATCATGGTATATTAACTTTCCAATGTGTTTGTCCGAGACAAAATTACAAGTAGTAAATGATATTTATCTCTATATATGACACGCCAAATTCACAAAAATGAGATAATCATAGTTTCACAATTGAGAAAAAAGGTTTATCGACTGTAAACTATAGTTAACAAACCGTAATCTATAGTTCACGATTCGTAAAGTATAGTTTTCATCTGTAAAATTATATTTAACGGTTGTTAACTATAGTTTACGAATTTAATTTAAGTTTATCTGTCTGTAATAAAGCGTTAACAATGGATTTTGTTGATAAACATAGATTCATGTTTGTAAACCATAGTTTACAATCGTAATCTATAGTTAAGAGTTGTTTATCATAGTTTCACAAATTGTGAAACTATATTTATCAGATCGTTAACAATAGTTAACGGTTTGTAAACTATAGTTTACAAATCGTGAAACTGTATTTATGAGATAATCTATGTTTTGTAATCGCAAATGACTGTTTTCGGTGTTAAGTATAGTTTACGGTTGTGAAACATAGATTATCGCGTTAACTATGGTTTACAGATGTGAAATATAGATTAACGTTGTTAACTATAGTTAACAATTCGTAAGCTATAGTTTATAATTCGTAAACTATAGTTTACAACCGATAAACTATCTCATTTTGTAAATTTGGCGTGCCATATCTATATATATCAACTGGTTCATCAATAGGCACGATTAAAAAAAAATCACGTGCAGGGAAGGACAAATAGAAAAAGAAGCAGGACATTGAGCAACTGGTTTACAAATTCAAGAGCTTGTAAATATAAGGAATAACTGTCATATTGTCTTGTTCCATGTTCAATCGATTGGCTTGCGTGATAATTTATGCATAAACGCTTTCAGCGTGTATTTAAATTATCACGCAGTCCAATCGATTGATCACATCATGAAATAAAGATTTTAGTCAGTTATTTCTCAAATTGAGATTAGTACTGCATGTAAATTTATCAAATATTCCTTTTCGATTTCTTAAAATTCATGAATTTCCATTACAGGGATTAATTTTAATTTCAATACTCACCTTAGAGATAGATAAAATCCAGCTTTTCTTTGATTTATACAGAACATTAACTTTGAAATTTTCACAGACAATTGACAAGCAATGTATTTACGTAGAGTCGAATCAGAATTTCAAAAGTTATTTGATCTCAAGCATCTTTAGCTAAACTTTTTTTACTTCAAATACCGTATATTCTATGCTTGTAAAGGATTAAATGTATAGGTTTTTAAAATTTTAAGTAAAACATACCTTTGGGATAAAACAGAGAAAACTCGGATTCTGTTGAAACATTCTTAATAAATATCTTTAATGTGTTGATGCCGTTGTCAATAGGAATGCTATAGTTTTCATTGAATCCGTCAGGAATCAAAAACCATGTTACAAAAACATTGGAAGATGGGAACGTCTCCGGAAAGTATGTGTAGTAAAAATTTCGTCAACATTAATTCATAAACAAAATATGGACAATAAATAGATGATAAATAGATATTTTCCAGAAAATATGCAAGACACTTCGCAGAGAAAACGGTTTAGAAGATATGAAATACTGACAATCAATAAGATAAGAAAAATCTTGTGGTCTGATGGAATGTGTTCTTAAAATATTCAATTCAAGTAAAGTTCCTTTTTTATAAATCAAGAAAAGCAAAAAAGAAGAACATAAGTAGCATGTAGGTAATATTGATTATAATAAGATCAGTGGTAGATGTTATATTTTGACCCTGTCAGTACTATAATGGTATTATTGAACAATATGGAGCAAAGTATCATGAAAAACCATAAATTACACTCTTTTAAATAGATGATAAATATTTTAGGATTATGAAGCAAATCATGGCATGGAGGGCCGGGTATAACGTTACGTCATTTTTAAATGATACCCAGTCTCTATGGGCCTCAAACAAAAAAAATTCTTGAACTTTAACTGAAACCTTTTTAATAAGTCACCTGACAAAAAAGTAAACCCTATTTTTGGAGGGGGAAGGGGGTTCGTATATGATAAAATTTCTTTATGAACAAACAATCAGTCATAACTTTCATATAATTTCTTAAATAGTTGCCAGATGAACTTCATACATAGGTATACATTCATGATGGAACAACAATTCTTTTTTCACGGTGAAATATGAAAGCCAATGCCAGCACACATGCACCTTGTTAAAGTGAAGGCATTGCATAATGTTTTAATTCTATTTATAGACGTTTAAGAAAATGAAACCTTGATTTCCTTTTCCACGATAGCTCCAAGTAACTCCACTTTTGTCTGAATGACTTTACCTCCAGCTTGTTCAGCTATTGCCTGAAACACCGACAAGCTCGACCTTTTCTTACGGTAAGGTCGTACTTGTTCAACAGCAAACTTTTTGGAAGACTTGACTAAAAAGTATGTGGTAAAAATGAAAACCAATAGGAAACTTATCACTATTTTGCCCTTTTTATCAGATGCTTAACATTTGATTTCTTTTAAATTATAATTCATCTCCATTGTCCAGTGAGGATATATATAGGCTTTACGGATTTTTCTTTCACTCTCGCATTCACTTGAGGAAGTAATTCTTCGTCCTTTGCGTCTGCATCAGTATAGATGTAAATCTTCGAATCTTTATTCGACATTTCTATTCCTAAGAAACAAGACATATAAAAAAATAAAAATATGATGATACTTTAAAAAGATTATAGGACTCAATGATTTTGAATAGGATTTTTCTTATACAGCAGTCAATCCATCTGTGGTGGTCCTGGAGGTACTGGGCACGAATTGCCCTGCTGCCTCCGATCACATGGTATACGTCACAGCACCTGTCGTGACGTATACCTATCCTCTCTCTTTTTTCTATTACATGCTGCAGAGAAAGGAAGTGTCTCTGTTAGCTCCGTCATTATTGTATATTTTAACTGCGGGCATTAATAAATAGCTGATTATTTTACCATAGTTTTATCTCTATTCCGCCATCACCGTACTTGGGTATTGACAGTAGATAATATAGAGAAACGCTATACATCGAAATAATCCACCTCTTCAAAAATATTATACTTTGAGTTCACTCAAAGTCTTTTACGAATTAATGCCCTTTTAGTCTTTTCTTTAAAAAAAATGGATCCAATAGTGTAGGTCATTTTTATATAAACCAAGTTAATAAGTCCTAGCACATAAATTTTATTGCAGGAGTGTTAAAAATAAAATTGCATTTAATTTAACATAATCTTTTTTACTTTTAAACATATTTAATACATATCTAATATATTATTTTTTATGTTTTCGATTTTTGCATATCGTTTTGATATCCATACGAAAAACGTTTTAAAACCCTATTTGAAACGTATTAAATGAACCTGAATTGACTTCTTGTGACACGATGGCGGTGTTTTTCTTTGAAGTTTACTGTTCTGTATTGGCAATACAGAACGGCACTTTGGTGGGCGGAGCTACTTTCCGTTCTGTATTAGCTAACTATTCTGTATCTAAAATACAGCACGGTCTAAAAATAAATCTGATTCAATTTAGCAAAAGCACGTACAAATAGTAAAATCCTCATGTTTTCCTATAATAAATTTTAGAGAAATACCCGGTATTAATCCTGAGAATGTAAAATGTCAATGAACACTTATTCCACACAGAATCTACACGTAATTTAGATCCAAAGGAAAACTAAAATTCACAATAACGGAAAACATAATCTACACGTAATTTTGATCCAAACGAAAAGAAAATTCGCAATAACGGAAAACATCCACTATCCTCGTGCAAATCATTCAAGTCCATTTTTCGCGTTTTTATTTTTTAAAATCCTTCTCGCTTACGACAGCCACACGTCGATCTCTTTCACTTCGTTTTTAATGTCGCAATTCAATTAGAAAATATAAATCTGTGATATCAGAGTCCATCGTAGAATTTTCTGTAAATTCTGATTTTGTAAATCTAGTCAAACCGGGATTTTAGGGTTAGACCCCTGAAAAATATTATAATCAATCTCCATTTATAGATCACAACAACAATGGTTAAATCCTCCACTTTATCCATTAAGAGTGACTATCACTCGATTACGTCTACCCCGTTAAATTGTCAAAACTAATCTGACCGAATTTTACGTTTTCCGTGGAAATATATACACTGCGGATGCGAACTCCCCGTCGGGGCCTCATCTACAGAACTCTGGCGGAAGTTTGGATGCTGCAAAGTTATAAAGTGGGCGGAGTTATTTTTGATTGATCGTGTCACAAATCATTTAGAGAACTCGACAGGTTCTGTATCGTAGATACAAATTTGGGGGTGGAGACTCGTGCTTGCGCACTCGTATACCCCCAAATTTGTATCTACGATACATAACCCGTCTCGTTCTCTAAATAATACTTACAATGTACCTTTTAACAATCCAGTTAAAGCATACTCGGGACAATCATCACCTCCGCTGACCGTAAGATTCTGACGCCATGATATCATAGTTTGTGGATCTGTTGTCTTTCGACCAGTCGTCAACGAAGCTATAAGTAAATATACAATATTCAACATACTAGTACCAGCAGTCAACCAAGCCCCTACCTTTACTCCTTACCAAAATGTTACCTTCAACACGATCGACATTGGGATATACATGCACTGACGACGTTTTCTTAATTAATTGATGTTCATGGTGTTATTGTGATTTCAACAATGTAAGCCTTTCGTTAAGTTCTATGTTTGTTACAATGGCCTTGTTATCTAAATTAAGTTATCATTGGGTCCTATTTTGGATGAATTGTTTCACACTAATTCATGGACCTTTGCTTTTATATATGTAATATATTTCACTATGGAAAGTTCCGTCTATTAATCAAAACATATGGCGCAAAGCGAATCGGCCGATCTACAGGGGATGCTTTCTTTACCTAAGCACCTGATCTCTTTAGTTTCAGAGGTCCATGTGTATTGGCTATTCACAGAGTTAGATTGTTTTCTGATTTTTTAAATTTTAATAATGTTTGTTATTTTTACGTTCTTTCGTCTAAGCTATCAATCAATCTTTCGTCACTCTATAATCATGCTATATAAAATTTACAACAAAACCAGTTTTTGTAATTCAATTTTCAAGAAAATCTACATATCTTTATGCAGAAGAGATTACAGTAAAAGAGATTAAAGTCGGATGTAAAGTTGGTTTACCAACCAGGATCAGAGAATGTGACGAGAATGTAGTTTCCAGGCACGAATTGAAAATCTCTAGCTTCATTGACTATTTTCTGCGTTCCCTTTATGACCTCTCTAATGTTACTACCCATAGAGCCTGTGACATCAATGACGAAAGTTAAAGACGTCTTAACCACTTCCTCTCTGCTTCGTATTCCAAAAACATCCCGGAAAACTTTCTCGCCCATAAGGCTTAAAAGCCCCCTATCTTAAATATAAAGAAAAAAATGTATTTTAATAAAAGTAAGATTTACGAGTATTTTCGCATGTATGCTATTTGTAAAAAGAGAAATATACCATCAGTGTTTTTAATAATGTATTATTTATTTAATGTTCAATGCCAATAACCTGGAGCAATAAGAAAATACTGTGTAGCGGATATGGCTGCCTCTGCGGCCGCCCTGTGGAAGTTGCTATGCGGAGCCTCGCTTTGAACAGATCTTCCCTTGTATATACCGCCAGTGGCAGTCATCAATCGACCTTCGTCATCCTGTGTTCCATGACTGCATTTTCCACTTAATCCCTGTCCTGACTTTTTTTTTTGTTGAAGAAAACAATTTTCAGAAATATGTGACTCATTCAGCTGAAGATAAAATTATTGGTTTTTATACTTATTCAATTATTTGTATAATACAAAAAGGACTAAATGACTGTCTTTTACATCTTAACCACCAAAACAAGATGTGCTATGAAACACTGATACACCAGTATATCAAAATATTGGTGATGGTTGAAATTTCTCAAATGCAAGTCAGATTCCCACGATCAAAAGTTAAAAAATGTTGGTATCTAAAGAAAGATCTTGTAACAAGGAATACACTTAAGAATACAAAGAATAACAATAGGAATAACAAGGTTTACACAAGTACTCACTGTTCAAAAGTTATAACCAAGGTTAAGATCTTCTTTAGGTACATGTGCCATCAAATTTGACCTTGACACCTTAATTTTGGAGTTTGATCCACTTTTACCAAAACTTTTCCGAATGTTTTTAAACTTAGCTATTACTTTTGGCTGCTGTTTGGTGCTAGAGCTTTCATACTTACATGCACTTGTGTATTCACTGACAAGACCTTTCATTTGGCAATTTTTTTTTCTTTAGAGTTTGGTTCACATTTAAGAAACTTTAACCTTGACCATAACTTTTGAACCTTTTAAAAGTACTAAGGCTTTTCATATTTCACAGATGAATTTCTTGTGACAAGACGGGTACCTTCCTTTGGATACCAACAATTTGACCTTCTTGACTTGAGTGTTTGCCTTGAATTTGATAAATGTCAACCCTCGTCACAAGCTGCCATACGGTGGTATAAGTGTTTCTAAAACACGTCTTGTTATTAGGAAACTTATAATCCAAAGGATTTTTTGTGTCTGATATGGACATACTATATGTACGTATAACAAAGTGAGTCAGAATTATACAAAAAGATTAACGACTCACGGAAAGGTTTAGTTACTTGTTGTCCAGATTTGTAGTCACTTGTTAATTTGTCAGCAACTAAGTTGTTGTCACACATTGAAAGCCTAAAAATATTTTTTTTAGGCATATGATTCAATGATTATAATGTCTTCATTCAACCTTCATCGGATTTTTTCGTTTTGCATTTTAAGATCATTTCATTTTTATCGAATATTTTGCTGCGTTCATTTCTAACATTAAATAAAGAGTTGATGGTATATGTAATTATGCTTAGAAACTTTTTTGGGGTCAAACTTGTCATGATACATCTTTAGTTTCAAGTATTATATCACGTAAGCAAACGGATTTTCCTCATTTTAAATCTCTTTCAAAATACGTTGTATTAAAGGATCCACTTGACAAATACATATCTTACAAAAAAATTTTCGTGAAACGCTGATTCCGACGCGTGGCAGCTTATAGCATGGCCCTTACCCCCCATTCACACAGAGCTGCGACTCTACGGTGATCATCCCGATCAAGCCACGATCTGAAAAGTTTTTGGATCGGGGCAGATCACAGCTGATCAGCTTCAAGAAAGAGCAATTTGGCAAATTGTGGTCTTCGTTACGACCGTACTACGATGTCCCTACGTTAAACGCGTTGCTAACACGCTTCTACTACGATGTTACGCAGACCAATGCCGACACACAGCCGTGTGTAGTGCGTTTACGCTACGCTGCCACTACGACATTGAAGACCATACTACGACGCTGCACAAAACCTAGATGCTTGGTGCTTGGTAAGTTCCTACGTTCGTACGGCGCTTTTACTACGATCATGAAGATTTCTCTACGCTGCTTGCACGATTACGGCGCTTGTACTCCGCTCTTATTACGACTCAATCCCGATTATTGTTGGCCACGATCCCGCTACGCTTGTTTTGAACATGTTCAAAATCAGCGTGGTGAGAGCGTAGAGCTCTCCGATCATGAAGACCCTACTGCGATCATACTACGATTATGACGACCCCTCGACGTTTCTCCTGCGATTTGTCACGATCGGCCACACTTTCGGCCACGCTTTGATCGTAGTAGAAGCGGCGTCTATGTGTTAATTGGTCCTTTCCATTGAACAGTTAGAATTCGGGCTTTAATATTTCAAAGATTTATTCATAATGGCAAGACCTTCCTATCGAAATCAAGAATTAGACTTTGAACTTTGGAGTTTGACATGCATCTCAGAAAAATTTCAGCCCCCACAATAAGCTGCCATACAGGAGTATCAGTGTTTCACAAACACATCTTGTTTTTTTCTATTTAGACAAGGTATTTTTATTTCTTTAAACATAATAATTTATACTTCTATTGTAATCAAAGTTAAAAACAAATATATCAGTCTCAAGTTACTTGTACATCAACTAAAAATTTCAACAAATATAAATACTGTAAATCTGGAAAATTTTACGTCGATTTTTTTTTGCGAATTCGGGTCAAAATGGTGTTGACTAATATTTACGTTTCAAAATTTAGCGAATTACCACTGCTTTGTTTATATTTTCTTATTGGTAATATATTTTTAAGAAAAATATTTTTGCGAATGCAATAAACTCGCAAATTTTGCTAAAAATTTATCTACAGCAAAAATTTCCAGATTTACATTACTTTTTTACTAAAGTAATTGATAAATATTTAGATACTGTATGCCTATTTACCCTTCTTTATAATTACAGTTGGTACATGTATCCTCTTTCGGACCCGCCAGCTCTACTAATGTTACATTGTCTTGCCCTGAAATTTCACAGATACAAGATGGATTATTCCTTTTAATTTAACCTAACATTAAGCCGAAATTTGCATACTTTATTGCATATATGGGCCAGCAAAGATTTAAACCCATTATTCAGCAAACTTAAGAGGAGGGGTGTCTCAGAGAAATGTAAACATAAAGCACCATGCTTAATGATTTCATTGTGGTGTTTGTTTGTCACGATTTTAATTCCACAAACTCGAAAACACGTATAATTGTCAATGCTATTGTTGTCTCTGGCAAAACAACGCCAAATACGTTAAACGTTAAAATAAAAATAGACGGCCCTCCAAAAAAAGGGTGAACTCATAAGCACCATCCGCAGAAACATCGTCAAATATTTAAGATGTAAGGGTTTTATTAAGAAACGAAGGAGATGATATTCAGTGGATGTCAATCTTTCTTCATATACTCAACTTCCAGGTAATATTCAGGGTTCTCCATGAGCTGTTTTACTGTGTTGCTCCCGACACAGTAAAATTTTCTCCGACAGAGTTACGATTCAAATTTTATGCGTGCGACACAGTAAAAATTTTGCCGACACAGTAAAATCTATGATAATTAGAAAATATAAACATGTAAAAGTCTCTAACTAAATCTTTAATCAAACAATTCTACCATCTTTCAATTCTTAACGGTGGACCACTTAATTACAAGGGCTTCATCTTGCTAGTCAATTATCTCCTAGACCCTCGCCAGACTTAACGCATCAGGGAACAAAGACAAATACCGGTAATTTGTTTTCACACTTCCATGTAACGGTTAATTGGTAGTTGCAAAAAATACATTGTATTATTTTTTAAAAAATATTTAAATATGTCTTTTGTATAGAGCCACAGCTCTAGAATTATGTTTGTAGCATTGACAGTCAAACATAACATCGTATCGAAGTCTTTCAGCAATATAATAAATTGCTTAAAATTTTCAAAATGTTCAAGGAACTCTTAAAAGTATTATACCATTCTGAATTCGGTAATTCGATCAAGAAAACTGACAAGTAATCACGGCAAATTTACTTTAAATAATGTTAAGTACAAGAAGTTCGACCGTATCGACCAGAATTTCCTCGGCTTTTCAGAACATGTGTATTTTTTTTATCAATATGCACGACCATACCATTGTGTAACGTATTATCGATTTTTAAAAGCATGTGAATGTATTCTTTTGTTATTACAATGAATATTGATTCAGTTGCGAATTTAACCGCGAAAATATAGTGAAATTTTTGTGTTTCGTGTAAATCTGCAACACAGTAACATTTAAAATGATGGAGAACCCTGAATATTGATTGTAATTTTTTTTTTTTTTACATACAACGATCTAAAATTATTACAAATATACTTCGCTTTGTAATCACTGCATTGCGGCACATCATCTTTCATCCTTTCATGTAAATATATCTTTACCGATGTAAATGTACATGAACTTTAAGTTTGTCACATTATATTAATAATGATAATGGAGTCATTTAGCAGGTCTAAATAACATACCAAAATCCAAATAAACAGCATTCCCACAAAGTTCTATCCAGTTCGTATTGCTGTAAAATTCCTGGATTGTGTACAGAGTTCTTGCGACTATTTCTCTTATTTCTGAGATGTCAGGAACAGCTGCTTTAGAAAATTGCATGATTTCGTGTCGTAACATTCTGATGTAAATATGGGCTGAAATAGATAAACCATATGGAATGCATGATAAGCTTAAATTTGAGATAAATTCTTTCAATTATATAATTTGCTAGGGTTTTTTAACTTTAAAATACATCTCTGTCATATCATTCCAAAAGTTTGAAGAAAAATAGTTTTACAGTTCGGCAACTTATGAAGTTGTGGAAGGACATATTTTATCATTTTTTTCAGCAAGAGGACCATTAATCATTGTAAAATAAATGCATGTCTTATAAAGACCAAAACTATGAATAAAAATGTTTACTGTGTACGTGGATGATTAGTGATTAAAATCATAACTTACTAGTCATTCAAGTTGTTGGGTTGAAATTATTAAGGGTATTCATCATTTAAGATCATTCTTCATAAATTATCTTACTTTAATGTTCATATCTACAATTGCATGATTTTGAACAACTTTATGATTCTTAAACTTTCCAATCGTCATTTTCCAATAGATATGCAGCATTGTACCTTCTCTCAGTTTAATCGATACGCGAGAGCAATCTCTTCAAGTGAGTTATTTCTAAATTGAGGTAAGTTACTTACAAAAATGATGAAACAAAAATATCAGCAAAAGTAATTATTAATTTTCAGAAGTTCTATGGTAGATACAATAATTTTTGTCAGCAAATACAATCTATCATTGAGTCAAATACTGACTGACGTTTTTCATACTAACTGTTTGTCCATTATTTTAAAATACACTGCATTGAAGACGGATTATTCCGTTATCTACCGATCATGAAGGAGCACACGTCAGGTGTGACTGGTCCCACCTCTAATGTTTAAGATGTCCCTGTTTGTTCTACTCCTACTTTGTATTTTTTGGACTTTCGAGCTTGAAGACTTTATTACTTCCATCAATTTCATAATTTCTATAAACGATTTATTAACAGAAATTTAAAGAATCTAATTCAAATCAAAAACATAGTGATACACAGTAATTCAAATAAAAAAAATCGGGGGGGGGGGCATTGCATAAATATTATACTTGTCTAAAAAACTTTCATGTATCAAAGAACACACTTTGTAATTTCTTCAAGAATTTTTTACAGAACTTTCTGAAAAATCATAAAATATCATACTATGAAGTGCCATTCTGCATTTATTTAATATACAGATTCAGTAGATCATTCAAGGGAATAGAACCTTGAAGCTCATTCAACATACCTAACTCAATCTGCTCGCCATTTACGTGGTAGAATGAAACGTTGACAAAGTCTCTTTGAATTGAACCTTCAACTTTACAAATTGCTTTGATAATTGTCCAGTATTTTTTGTAAGATTCATTATCTGAAAACCAGAAGTTTATGTCCATTAAAACAAAGGATAATCAAAGTAGAGAATGGAATAATAACTTTTCAACAGCAATAATACAGTGGAATTATTCCTTATTAAGTCTCTTTCTGTGACAAGGTTGCAATAATCAGACTAAAACTGCCAAAAGAGTAGCATTTCAAAAGTACGAAAGCCGGATAGGCTCATTTCTGAGAAGATAAAAAAAAATTTAACTCGTTATAACGAGTTAATTATCTCGTTATAACGAGTTAGTATCTCGTTATAACGACTTAGTTATCTCGTTATAACGACTTAGTTATCTCGTTATAACGAGTTAATTATCTCGTTATAACGAGTTAGTATCTCGTTATAACGACTTAGTTATCTCGTTATAACGACTTAGTTATCTCGTTATAACGAGTTAATTTTCTCGTTATAACGAGTTAAAAACTGATCATTAGTTGATATATCTAAGTGATAGGAAGTATAGTAGTATAACATATAAAACTACGAAAGCCATGAAGGGACACGTCGATTTTTCAAAAAAGTAAAAATTAATTTGAGATCTCGAATTACACAATCCATTCCCACGGATTATCAATTCGTTCTCTCGGTTTATAATTCGAGATCTCGAATTACACAATCCGATCCCACGGATTACTAATTCGTTCCTTCGATTTATAATTCGAGGTCTCAAATTACACAATCCGATCCCACGGATTACCGATTCGTTCCCTCGATTTATTATTCGAGATCTCAAATTACACAATCCGTTCCCACGGATTAATAATTCGAGATCTCGATTTGTAACATCAGTCTTATGATTTTGGCAATCCGTGCTCGCGAATTTTATTACATGTATACATATATACATGTAATGTTGGATACATTCAAATCCAACTATATTTGAATCAATTAATGCGATTCATGTATTTCAGCAACCGCGGTCGTTCCTAATCTCTTTTATTACTAACTCAACGTTTATTTAAACCGAGTTGATCAAGTTTGTTTATAGTGTGTATGATAAAGATTTTTTTTGAAAAACATCAAATTAGTTTATTTTTGTTTTTCTTGGGGTTGTGCCTGTGATTGTATTCTGTTTATGTATATACGACGCAGTTGATTTGTATTGTCAGGGGCGTAGTATCCGGGGGGGGCAGTTTTTTTCCCAACCTTACTTACACTATAGGAAATGTTAATTGAAAACCTGGTTGGCCCCACCACCTTTAGAAATGTACCGAAAATGTAGTATAATCGTTGTTGCCACTGAGAAAAAGTTTACCTCCCCCCCCCCCCCCCCCCCCCCCCCCACGAAATAGGATTTTCGACTTTGGGCAACTTTTACCCCTTTTTTTTTTTTTTTTTTTTTTTTTTTTTTTTATTTTTCTCGTCAACTTTTTCAGGTAAGTAAAAAAAAATTTTTTCTCTGCCTGGCCCCCCCACTTTCAAAAACGATGCTACGCCACTGATTGTATACTTAAAAGACCGAAGACAAATACATGTACATGTATACGGAAACTTATGACTGCCTCTTGATGAATATGCCGCAGCAGCGGCCCTTCACTTTATTGGAAGAAGAAAAAGTAGCCCCCGAATTTTACGTCCATGGCCTCATTGCTGATGCCTCCATATTCCCCTTCTTCAAAACATTTCTGACTCTCAAAATAATATATATCACACTGTAAGTGTATATAATGTATGTTGCATTAACGCCTGCGTTAGCTTCCTATCATAGTGTATTAATTTAGGTACTAAGACATTGATTATGAAAGCTAATAAGTCATCCAAAACACATCAGAAAAATTCGTGTCTTTTATCGAAGAAAATAGCAACTTTTTATCAATTTTCAAGTGCAGTATGACCGATAATTATCAACTAAACATCAATAGCATTAAAACTACTGCCATTTTGAATTCATAACTAACTCGTTATAACGAGATAACTAACTCGTTATAACGAGATAATTAAATCGCTATAACGAGATAACTAAGTCGTTATAACGAGAAAACTAAGTCGTTATAACGAGATAATTAACTCGTTATAACGAGATAATTAACTCGTTATAACGAGAAAACTAAGTCGTTATAACGAGATAATTAACTCGTTATAACGAGATAATTAATTCGTTATAACGAGATAACTAACTCGTTATAACGAGATAATTAAGTCGTTATAACGAGAAAACTAAGTCGTTATAACGAGATAATTAACTCGTGATAACGAGATAATTAACTCGTTATAACGAGAAAACTAACTCGTTATAACGAGATACTATCTCGTTATAACGAGATAACTAATTCATTATAACGAGATAAAATTAAGTCGTTATAATGAGATAATTAACTCGTTATAACGAGAAAATTAACTCGTTATAACGAGATACTAACTCGTTATAACGAGATAACTAAGTCATTATTACGAGAAAATTAACTCGTTATAACGAGTTAATATTTTTTTTCATCTTTTCAGAAATGAGCCTATCCGGCTTTCGTACAAAAGAATCTACATAAATTATCTAAATTTTTTTTTTAGAAATATCATTCAACAAAATCAAACAATAAAACAAAAGGGGAAAACAATCATGTATCTTGGTGATGTCTGCTTGCTTGCCAAGCTATATTAAATTCAGACCAATCTGGGGGTGGGAGTATAGCATTTTGAATGTGTTTCACAGAAATTTCTATTTAGAATAACCTTAAGAATTGAAATAAAAATAAATAAATGTTTTTTATTAAAGCATTCTTATCTGCCAAATTATATTGAAATCTGATCAAAACTGTAGATCGATGGAATAGGCCCCTAAAGTCTTGAAAGTGTTTCCAAAAAATCTATATTTAGTTACCATGGCACATCCGTTCATTGAAATCAAAAATGAATATTTTGAATAATATATCATAGTGTAGTATACTCATATACCAAGTTGTTTTGAAATATGACCAAATGGTAGTAGGAGTGCCGTTTTGAAGACTCTTTACAGAACTTTATATTTTTTTTAAATACCACGAAAAAAATTGACAATTTAAATCAAAATTCGATATAGAGAATTATGTATCTTAGTTTAGTTTACTTGTGTGCCACGTTATTTTGAGATCCAAGCAAAACTGTCTAGTAAGAAGTAGCAGTATGAAAGTATTTAACAGAAAAAAATTAATTTTGTTTACCATGGTCCCAAGATCATCGAAAATCAAAATACGTTTAACAGAATAGTGTATCATTGTGTTCTTTACTTACTGAAAGCAGACCTAAAGGGCCTTTTGTAAAACGATCTCAAATTCCATGTACTCATAGATTTTAGGACACAAATACATGTAATTCTTTTCTACTTAGTTTTGTCAAGTGTGCCCTTTAAAATAACTCTTTGTCCTCCTTAAAAAAGATTTTAAAGTATGGATTAAAAAAACACATCACAATATAATTAAATAACAAAACAATCATTTTGCTTTACGTTAATTTTTAGTGAATGAAGGAAAATCGAGAATGCAGTGGTGAGATATCGGCAGATATTATAAGCTTTAGATTTAATCAATAAATGTTTAGTCGTTCCGAAAACAAGTTAAGGTAAATCAAAACATGCATTTTCCAGAATGCAATTATTTCGTTAATAGTCCTAAAACTGTGTCGATACGGAGAAGCTTCTAAAATTTAAAACGACATCGGAGTGTTTACTCAACTGTTCCAAAATAATTCCTGACTTCCTGCTCCACATTATTAAAATTCTTACTTCGTGCGATCACGTGGAGATAGTCGCGTGATGCAATAAAATCAAAAGCCTCCGAAAACAAAGTTCTTTTGCTACTTCAATTAATTTTTTCATTTATAATTTCATAGGTTTAGTTTTAGTTAGTTACCATGTGAATTCACGAATTAATAAAAAAGATCACAGTGAATGTGAAATATTTAAGCAATTGTTAAAGTAACATTTACACAAGATCCTATTTCTGTATATACATTAATAAAAGAAATAATAAATAGTGGATATGGTGAAGATCGAGAAAGTCTTATTGAATTTGTAATTTTTTTTTTTAAATAAAACGAATTTATATCCACAACTTTTCCACTAATAAAAGTAACTTTCACAATATGAAAAGCCTTTCCGTAGCTTGTTCTTGTTACTTGAAAACTAGTGAAGACACAAGAAGTTGAATTGAGTGAAAATGTCATTTATTGACCTAATAAATGACGAAAGTGAACAAAAACACATAAATATACAATATTACATACAATCATGTAAATTATAGCTGGGATAAGGCCAAATGATGATTAGTTTCAACTTAGATATGATATATTGCGACTTAGTGCTTATCCCAGCTATTGTTATATAATGATTACCAAGTTTGTGTAACAAGAAGGTGGCGTAAACAGAGAGGCCACAAAGCATGGTAAGTGCTTGATGTTATACAACGATGAAAAAATTCCATACAACAAAATTTCAAATATTGGTATTACATGGGAGGAGGATGGGGAGGTGGCGGTAAATTGATTCCAACCTCATGTTTGCGTCAAATCAAATTAATTGAGCACTCGATCCCGATCAAGCCGAACCCGATCCAAATGTGAGTTCGATCCCGATCCAGTCGACCACACTCTTTTTACATAAAAAATCAACAACAACTGCAATTTTAATCTAAATTTGTCAAAAACAATGTAAAAAAGATTGTATATAAATCATTTTATGAGACATAAAATTGTATTTATATCCACAACTTTTCCACTAATAAAAGTAACTTTCACAATATGAAAAGCCTTTCCGTAGCTTGTTCTTGTTACTTGAAAACTAGTGAAGACACAAGAAGTTGAATTGAGTGAAAATGTCATTTATTGACCTAATAAATGACGAAAGTGAACAAAAACACATAAATATACAATATTACATACAATCATGTAAATTATAGCTGGGATAAGGCCAAATGATGATTAGTTTCAACTTAGATATGATATATTGCGACTTAGTGCTTATCCCAGCTATTGTTATATAATGATTACCAAGTTTGTGTAACAAGAAGGTGGCGTAAACAAACAGGCCACACAGCATGCAAAATG